ATTAACAAATAAAAAACCAATTAGTCCATCTGTACCGAGCTCCTTCTATGTGCTAGGCACTGTGCCAGGCTCTGAGGACACAAGGGTCTAGAAAAACGGGTGGGGTTCCTCCCTCCAGGAGTTAACCAGCTGGCAGGGAAGATGCCAGATCACGAGATTACAGTGGTGACCAGGGCTTGGAAGAGGAAGTGCCCAGGGGCATGGCAGGCTGCAAAGGGAGCTTTGACCTGGGAAATAAGTCAGGAGGGCTTCCCCGAGGAAGGGAGCTGGGAGCTGAAGGGTAAGTTCCAGAGGGAGGGAGCAGCATGTGCAAAGGCCCTGTGGTGGGAGAGAGGAGCATGAATGAGCAACTGGAAGACAGTCTGAGTAGGCCCAGGGTCCCTGGTACATAATGAGACAGGAGAAGTGGTGGAGGTCAGATGGAGAATGCCTTGTTGGCCAAACAGCATGAGAAGTGGCACAAGGGTGTTCAGTGTGGGGTGGGTGGCACGATCTGATAGGTAAAGAGAAGGCCGTGTGTAGGTTTGAAAAACACTAGTCCCTTCAGCCTGCAGACATTTCTTGAGCATCAGCGGTGGCCTAGGCCTGAGGCCACCGAGAGGAAAGGTGCAGAGCCCACCCTCGAGGCACTTTCAGTCTGGGTTCAAGTTGATAGAAGGAGGCTGAAGGTCACTCCTCTTCCTGTCTCCGTCTTAGATACCTCCTGCGGAGTGTCTGGAGCTGATGGGCCACTCTTCTTCCTGTTGCAGGCCTTCAGCTGAACTTCTCCGCCTCCTGGGGGGACCTCCACTACCTGGGGCTCACTGGCCTGGAAGTGGTGGGCAAGGACGGCCAGGCCTTGCCTATCCTCCTGCACCAGATCTCCGCCTCCCCCCGAGACTTAAATGACCTCCCCGAGTACACCGACGACTCCCGGACCCTGGACAAGTGAGTGGCTATCAGAAGGTCGGCTTTCATGGCCGCAGGATGTCAGGGACCCTTTCCAGCGTCTTAGACGTCAGACACAAACATCAAATGGCATGTCACCTCTCCTGGCCGCCCTGTGGAAAGGGGGGAGAGCGTCCCAGGGCCACACAGCTTGCAGTGGTAGGCTGGGTTCAAAGGCAGGTATTCGTGCTTCCAGACACCGCTGTGGTTTGTTCTCTCCACTGTACCGAGCGCAGGGCCTCACACACAGCAGCCGCCTGTAAACCTCCACCGTGGACGGCCCCGCGTCTACACACGAGTGACTCAGGCCTCTGGGGCGCTGGGGCTGGAGGTGATCGCTGAGCAAGTCTCCACAGGCAGGTGCAGCTACACTTTCCCCTGCGCTTGTCAGATTTCATAAGCCAAGGTTGGATCCGGTCGATGCGGGAACAAGCCTGAGCAATAGCACTGATCCTCAGGGACCCTGTGACCGACGGGCCGGCGTTCAGCCCCCGTGCTGGGCAGCTGCAGGGCCTGGTCATTGCCTGGAGATGCTAGCGAGAGTCTCGGGGAGTCAGAGTCATGAGAGTTCAAATCCCTCTCTGCCCCACGCCATCCATTGAGTAAGTCTTTTAACCTCTCCAATCATAACAGTAATGGTAACAATAGTAACTGCTTCTATAGCTGCCATTTATTAAGCACTTATTAAATGCCAGGCACTGGACTATGTTAAGCAAGTTACAGATGTGCATTCATTTAAGCCTAAAACAGCCCCATGAGGAAAGTGGTGTCATCACCCCTACTTTACTGATGAGGAAACTGAGATATAGGGAGGCCAAAACTGGCCAGAGGCCACCCCGGCCAATTAAGTGGCAGAGTCATGATCTGAATGTGACACCAATACCCATGTACCTAACCACTGAGTCATACTGTCCCCCCTTCTTGGTTTCCTTCAAAGTGAAATGAGCCCCATAATTCCCCTGGTGGGGGGTTGGGAAGGGGATTGTCACATTGCAGCCCACCCCTTGGCCCTCATGCATGGGGCCGTGCATGGGGTCAGTAGAGGGCTCCTTCTTGCTCTTCTTTAAGGTGGCCCTGAACCGTGGCCCTCACCCCTGCCTACCGTCATTGACTGCTCATGGGCTGCTCTGAGCCCCCGGATCCTGGCCCGTCACCTTCCTGATGACTTAGACTTGAAACCCATGTACCCAGCTCCTGCCCAGCTACAGAAGTGATCAACACATGGCCCAGCGTGTTCATGCACCCATCCTCTTACCACCCCTTTGTCCCGATCATCGGGCGGCAAATGCCAGGCCTGGCAGCATTTCATCTCTACATATTACAGGGTGTATCTCTAAGCAATAAGAACTTTAAAAAGAAAACATAATCGCAGTACCACTGTTATACTTTAAAAAGTTAACAGTGATTCCTGAGATTACCAGACCCCCAGCAGGTCCGTGATCCCCTGCCAGTCTCCCTCCCGCTTTGTTAGCGGTGAGCTCACTTGAATTGAGATCCGCACAGGCCCGTGCGTTGGGATCGGTTGACACGTCTCTTAAACCTTGTGCAGTCTCTAGTTGCCTTCCATCTTTTTCTCTCTTTTTTTTTTTTTTCATATAAATTTATGTCTGTTGAAGAAACCAAGTGGATTTTGCTGGTTGCATCTAAACTGGTTCATCAGTCCCCTGTATTTCTGGTAAATTGTTAATTAGATCTAGAGGCCAGATCAGATTGAGGTTTGAGCACTGGGGCAAGATGACCACGTGGATGATGTGTGTGTGCGTCAGGATGTGTATAGTGTCCGGTTTTCAAGCTCTTTGTGATGATGGCGGCCAGTTCTCCTCCGCGCTTAAGTCCGCTAATTCATCAGAGATTACAGAATGGTACCACTGTAGTCGTATCATTCCTGTTTTCATTTATTTGCTGAAATTACTGCAGTAAAGAGAAAATTATCCTCAATTATTTGGTTACTCTGCGGTACAATTGAAACAGGAAAGGCAGCCTTTGTTCCTTCAATTTTCAAAATAACAAACTGTTTCTCTAGTGTCTTCTAAAACATTTGTTTGTTTTTGAGTTATTATACATGTATGGGTTTAAACTTACAGTACTGTGTTTGAAGGGTTTTAGTCCTTACTGATGCTCAAATGGTCCCCTCTTGGACACTGGGAGCTCCTGAGTCCTTTTGACATACTCACCTCTGACAACTTTCTTGCCTTTTGATGTGACAGGATGTTCCAGGCTCAGCTTCTATATTTCTTGTCCCAGACCTGGAATCAGCCATTTCCCCAAGAAGCCCTGATTTCTTTTAGTGGGAAATGGTATTTAGAGACCATAATCTAGCCACGAGGGATGCACATTGCTACTGGGTTGGTCACTGTTTCCAGGGATTTTTATGGACAGGGCAAGAAATTCGTGTAGATATCCCTGAGTGTGTCTGTAGGGCCTCTTTTCACTGCCAGCTATAAATTCTTCAGCAATTCTCTCTGCTCGCTGGGTTGGGCGGCTGCTCTGCTATGGAGGCAGCTCCATTTCTAGGACAGAAAGGTAATTGCTTTTGGAAAGAAATAAAAGGTTCTCTTGTGGTAGTCCTCAGTCAGCTTAGTTCCATAAACATCCCAGTGTTGAATTGCTGAATTTCTTCAGTTTTAAGATGCCAGCAATTGTAAGACACATCATCCATCAATTTAATAACAGCCTTTTAGAGAAGAAAGAAACATTACCTCCTTGGATGAACACTTAGATTTATTCTAAATCCAAAACTTTAAAATGTAAAAGGAAAAAAAGTTGATTTGAAAATCTAGGCAGTATGGCAGCAGGCTGAGTTTCTCCCAGTGCAGCAGCCTCGAGGTACCAGGAATCCAGGGGTGGGGCGGAGAGAAAGCTCAGGAAGTTGGGAGGGAGAGGACAGGGGTTGCTCAAGAGGCTGACAGCTGGGCCCCTTTCTCCGGGGCCAGGCCTCTGAATGGCAATGCCGGACATGTGGCCAGAGCCATGAGGACAAGGTGTGGGGTCTGTGCTGAGGCACGCTGGGCTGTCCCGAACAGCCAGAAGCAGTATGGTCCTTGGGACAAACACAGGCAGACTTGAGGCAGAGGCAGGATGTCCCAATCAGAGGAACCGGAAATTGGCAAGGACGGGAGTGAATGGGACTGAGGTGACAGGCTCAGGACAATGGCCGGGAAGAGTGTAAAAGTGCCGGGGGTGACCTCCTAGTGGTTCAGAGCCTCCCTGGGATTCCCAGGCTGCGTGGTGACACAGAGTCACCTGCTCCTGCTTGTACTTGTCCCAAGCTAAGAGCTGCCAAGTTCACCCTGGAGCTTTAGGATGTCCCTTCATGCAGCACAAGAAAGAAGGGCCACGTCTCCTTCCAAATATGCCATGAAATCAGCATAGCAACTGTACAGGAAATTTGGAAAATTGAGAAATATATTCACCTCCATACACTCTGACCCAAATGTACTTTTCACTTCTGTACAATCCCCCCTGGTCCTTGTCATCGTTTTACAGCATTATAATCAGTGTCCCTGCCGTCCCATGGCCAGCATTTTCCATGCCACTGCAGAGTCCTCGTGAGCGTCACGTTAACCATTAGACGCTATACTTTATCCCAGGTCAGGTGGGTTTTTAAAAAGAAAAAAAATAAAAAACTTAGCCGTTTCCCTATTTTGAGATCTTTTAGGTTATCTTTTTTTTGCCAGCGTAATTAGCACTGTAATGACTGTCTTTGTGCAGATAGCCTTTCCAACATGTTGAATAAATTTTCATTAGGGAAAAAAAAAATCCTAGAAATAGGATCACTGAGTTAAAGAATTCTGGAAAAATGACACATTTTCCCTTTTTTTAAAAAAAACCCTGGGGATTATTTCACCACTCCTGTAACAGCATAGGCTGGTTTTCTTTTTCCTTTTTTAAAAATTTTGTCAAATTTCACAGATGAGAGATGACTCCTCACTGTGGCTCTAATTAGTCACACCTCCCCCAGTGAGCATGATCCCCCCAGGTCCGGGCGGGGCATGGGGGTGCCCCGGGGAGCCGGGTGGGGGAGCCCCACTCCGCCCCGCCCCAGCCTGCCGCTCCGCCCCCGCTGCGCGCAGGTTAGTGGACGGCACCAACATCACCATGGAGGACGAGCACATGTGGCTGATCCCCTTCTCGCCGGGGCGGGACCACGTGGTCTCCATCTGCTTCGACAGAGCCCAGAGCATCGCGGGCCTGCGCTTCTGGAACTACAATAAATCTCCCGAGGACACCTATCGAGGGGTAAGCTGGGACAGCGGCCGCGCTCCGTCCACTGTCAGGGAGACGGCACCTTGATGAATGGCTGGCGTGGCTGCTGGAGAGGACCATAAATCCTCTAGAACTTTCCAAAGGGAGCTGGGGGCGTAGCATCTAGGGAGGGCGCGAGCTGCTGTTGCCCTCTGCAGACAGCGTGGGCAGACTAGAGAGCCCAGGGCGGCCTCGGGAGACTGCAGAGCCTTGTTCCTTCTGGCGCTGGGGTGCCCTCAGCAGGCCCGGCCCCCACCTCGGCTCGGCCACCTACGGCTCTGATATCCGTTGAGCACCTCGGTGGCCAGGCCCACGCTGGGCTCTCGCGTGCATTTGTCATTGCACCGACCTCGTCCCACCTCCGGAGCGGGTGTTATTGCCTGGGTCTCTCGTGTATTCAACTGACGCTCGGGAAGTTTCAGTCACTCGCCAAGGTCACACGGCTAGAGTGTCTGTGCAGGGCCACCAGGCCCGGAGCCCACACGTGATTTCCACGCGGTGGTCTGCTCTGGCCAGGCGTGAAGAAGCTGCGGGCTGCTAAGCCACACTGGAGGGAAGGGGGAAGACAGGTCTGGAAGAGCCCCTTTCCGCGGGTCTTTCTCACCTCAGGTGGCTACGGAGGATGCACGTTTGGTCCCTCCCGTCACGTAAGGCCACCAAAAGGCAGCAATGCAGTTAGGGCCCTGGTGTCAGGAGGACCGGAGTCTGGTCTCGGCGCTGACCCTGAGCAGCCGTGTGACGTCCAGCTGCCATGTGACAGTCGGCAAGGCCAGGACTCGGTCCTGGTGATCCCCAGGCCAGGGAATCTCCCCTGTGACACCCGTAGGGCCTCGAGGACTCTGTCACGTTCAGCACAGTGGGGTCGGCAGCCCTCCTGGCGTGGCGGGAGCGGAGCCGGCGTGTGTCTGGGCCGCTGGCTCCTCTGGGCGGGCATTTTGCTCGCCCTCCGCGTCTCTGCGAGTGCTCCCTCAGGCTCAGCATGTCGAAAAAGTCAGCTACATTTGCACTTAAAAAACCATCTGCTGCCTCAAGTTGTGCCCTGGGGCCTTTACGTTCCCTTGAGCAGATCTCACAGCTGAGCTTCTGAGTCCGAGTTCCTGCTCCCCAGGTCTGGGCCCCAGCAGCCCCGGGGCCAGTGACAAGGGCCACCTCGAGGTGAGGGAGATGGGATGGGATGGCATGTGGCCTGAGGGGGCTGTGACTGAGATGCGCCACCCCCACAGAGGCCCTCCCGAGCACCCTGTCCTGGCCCGGCAGGCGCGTGGTACCAGGGCCCTGGGGCACACTGCTCGGCCTCTCAGAACTTCTGTTTCCTTGGAGGGAGCTGATAATAGAAGCCACTAGGACGGGTGACCGGCTCTGCCTGGGGAAGTCACTCTGCTTCCCAGAGGAGGTGTTGGCCCTCGGGGGTGGATGGGGGCTTCCTGGGCCTCTGCTTTGCTCTGTGACCCTGGCAGCTCCAGGCTCTGTCCTGCAGGCTCTAGGCCCAGCAGGTGCCCCTTTGAGGCAAGTAGCAAAACTCTGGGGTGTGCGAGGAGTCAGCCTTGAGGACAGGGGTTGGACAGGTGCAGAGGGACAGAGACCAGGTCCACGCGGCAGCCACGCCTGTGGCCAGTGAGCCCACACTTCCCGGTTTACACGTCCTGTGAGTGACTGACATGGAGGGGCTCCCCCCAGTGCTGAGGGAACGAAGGGCCCCAGGGGCACGTGAGACCCAGGGCAGCCCCCTTCTTCTCAGCAGCTCCTGAAGGGGAAGCTCCACCATTTCATCTGCAGCTGCGCCCACGTTGCTGGCTGTGAAGGTGGAGGAAGGTGCTGAGGAGAAGCTGGCTCTGGACTCTGTAGTGAGAAAGAGGGGGCCGGCCACCACCCCTCTGCCCACCTGCCCTCTCCCGCCCCGAGGCTCTGAGATTTACTGGCACATCTGGCTGGAGAGCTCTGGCTAGAACAGGGGGCAGGTTGGCCCAAATCCTCATGAATTCACTAAGCTCTTAGTAAGCACCTGCTGTGTTCCAGGCCCTGAGACAGACACAGAGATGGTCCGGCTGGGGTCTGTGTCCTGAGAGAGCCCCAGAAACCACTGAGGACTCTGCAAGGCAGTACCTGCATTCCCCCTCCCCCCAAAAACGAGCTAAGTGCCGTGAGAAGAAGGATCAGGAAGTAGCTGATCATGTCCTAAGGGAAAGTTCCAGGAGAGGTGATGATGTGTGAGCCGGGATTTGAAAAAGGAAGAACGATAACACCCATGGGTGCACATTTTGTGCCAGGCACTGTTTTTAGGCACTTTACTCAGTTAACTCATTACTGTGCCCATTTAACAGATGAGGAAGTCAAGGCATAGGGAAGTTAAGTAACATCCACAGCTGCTGGTGGTGGATGTTGGAGCACCTGAGTCCATGCCCTTGGTCACCATGTCATACCACCCCAGGCTGCTGCAGGTGGTTGGGGCCTTGGCCCAGTCAAGTGCCACCCTGGAGCTTGTGGCCAGAGAATGTATGTGCACGTCCACTGCGGCAGGGGCCTGGCCTGTCTTGTCCTCTGCTCTCTGCCCAGCGCCTGGCACCGAGTAGGGATAACACTGGGAAGTGGACCTTGGCTCAGGAGAAAGTTCCAGACCAGGCTGTGTCTCGGGGGCTGGGGCCTTTCATGGCGAGTGCCAGCTGCCCCAGCCCCAGCCATGCCAGTCTCGCAGCCCACCCCGCACTGGCTTCTTCCCTTCAGGCGTGCCATTTCTTCTGTTTGCTAGGCCAAAACCGTGCACGTCTCCCTGGACGGCTTGTGCGTCTCCCCTCCGGAGGGCTTTCTCATCCGGAAGGGGCCAGGCAACTGTCATTTTGATTTTGCTCAAGAAATCCTCTTCGTGGACTACCTGCAGACTCGACTGCTGCCCCCGCCGGCCAGGAGGTGAGAGGGACAGGGGGACCGGGCACAGGTCCTCCCCGCGCCTGGGCCCGCGTGCTCTGTGACTCGCTCTGAAGTGTGTACCGAAAGGGTTTTGAAACGATGATCAAACACGTTGCTTTTCAACTTGGCCGTTTCCTAAAGCTCAGCCAAGCCTCCCCGGAAGCCTGTGGGATGTGCCGGCCTTGTCTGGGGATGTTTGGGTTTCTCACAGTCCAGAGCGCTTAAGATTTAAAATACTGCGTCGTCGCGCATCCCACTGGGAAAATAGGCTGCAGTGGCCTCCGTTCCAGAAATGCCAGAAATGCCCGCTGGCCAGGTCGGGGAAGGCCTTGCTTCTCTTGTTTCTGTGTTCCTGATTTAGAAAGATTCAAAGAGAAAAATAGAGCCTAATATCTCATGGATTCGCGGGGATTTCTCAGCCCCAGTCTCAGCTGCGTTAAGTTCATAACGATTTGTAAATGTCACGTTAAGTGTACTCATTTAAACCCCCTGATGTCCAAACACCAGAGGCCAAGCTCTCGAAACGAAACGAGCTTCCCTCTGCCGTAGTGGGGATGGCTTGTTGGGATGGTCACTGGGAACAGTCAATTAATTGTAACATTGCCCTTGAAATTGAAGAGAACCAGGCTAGGGCTGGAGGGCCTTGGCGGAGGAGTCGCTGTCTCTGGAGGGCCTGCTGAGCGCCGGGTGCTTTGTATCGTCCTTTGGGGAGTCCCTCCCACCACCCTTTGAAGTAGGGAGTATTATGCCCATTTTACAGATGTAGGGACTGAGGCCCTGGCTGGTGGAGGCAGGTGCGTAGGATCTCAAAGCCAAACCCTTCAGGGCCTTCCCCACCTTCCAGCCTCCTCTGGCTCCCCTCCCCGTCCTGCCCTGGTCTCCGGCCCTCTGGAGGTCCAGCTCCTTCCCCCCTCGGGGACTTTGCTCCGCTGCTTCTCTGCGTGGAAGGCTCAGCTCCGACGTTCCCATGGCTGCCTCCTCCGAGAGGCCTTCCCGGGCCACCCCCTGAGGTACCCTGCCCCCTCACCGGGCCCTCCGCCCATCACCCCGGCATGGCTCTCCTGTGGCTCTCAGCGCAGCGTGGACCTCCTTGTTCGTGGAGGCAGCAGAGTGGGGGCGGATAAGAGAGTGAGCAGTGGAACCAGACAACAGGTCACATGCCAGTTCTGCCACCTACCAGCTCCATGGCCTTGAGCAAGTGACTTCATTTCTCATTGTTCCGGTTTCCTCATCCACAACCCAGGGCTATCAAATACCCACCCCCTGGGGTAGTGTCGAGGAATAAAAGAGTCCATGTCAGGAAAGCCCGAGCGCCTGGGCCCCTGGCACAGCCTCCTGCCGGCGTGGCAATGCCTGCCATCTGGAATGGGAACCCCCGGGCGCAGGGCCTCATCCGTCTCTGCACTGCTACATCCCGGGGAATGCTCGGCCACCGTACTGCCTCGGTCTGTTGCCCGGGCAATAACTGACCAGTGACTCTGGGCCGTCGTGATCTTCGTCATGTGCTGTTTTGTGCTTTTTCAGGCTCGACAGGAACAGCCTGGAGCGGGCGAGCATGGACTATGAGGCGCCGCTGATGCCGTGTGGCTGTATCCTCCTCCTCCTCCTCCCAGCCCGCAGCGCAGCCCGGGCCCCAGGGCAGGCTCTGGGCCTCAGCTGCCCGGCCGGGGTTTCAGGCAGCCACAGCGAAGGCAGCTGAAGTGCCATGCAGGGAAACCGAGGCAGACGATGGGAGGACTCCCGGGTTCCCCAGCGCCACTGGGTGCTGCTGGGACTGGGGCAGCCATGCGACTTCCAGGTCCCACCTCCTGGCAGGCAGAAGCTGCAGAAGGCAGCACCCAGGACTCCAGCTGGGGGTCGAGGTTGGAAAAGCTGAAACTGGGCCCAGGGACTGGACCAGGGGCTGTCCTGGAGCCAGGCAGGGACGAGGTGAAGACAGAAGCAGCCTAGCACTGTTCTCAGTGCCTCGCCTGTCTTCACGCCGTCCTCACATTAGCCCTGTGAGGCGGTACTGCTAGCAACCCCATTTCACAGCTAGGAAGACTGAGGCAGGAGAGGCTCAGTCAGTTGCTCGGGGCTATCTGGCTGGGAAGGTATAGGACCAGGTTAGTGAATCCAGACAGCCTGGCTCTGAGGCCCGCTGCCAAGCTAGCCGGTTCTCTGAGAAGCACTGCCTCTCGCTATGACACTGCCTGGGAGCCACCTCACCCTTCTCGGGTCTCCTGCCCTGCGGGCTCCTGGGAGCACGAGACAGGGCCCGGGAAGGGCTTGATGCCTGGTTGTACACGTGGGTCGCCCTGGCACGGCCCACACCCCCTGACGCTGTAAGGCTCATGTGTCCTCCCTTTTAGCCCCCTGCATACCTGAAAAGGGTGGAGGAGGGAACGGGTACTCTGTTCTTGTCATTCCACAGCCAGGGAAACTGAGGCATGAGACAGGGAAGCAATCTGTTCAACACCATCCAATGAGTTTGTGACACAAATGTGTCCCCATCCTGCCTGCTCCCTGGAGAGCACCCTCGGCTTGGCCTGTCTCCCAAGGCCCGGAGAAAGGTTTTGAATTCTACACATGCACACGCGCACACACACACACATGCACACACACACACACACTCACATGCACACGCACACACACACATACACACTCACATGCACACGCACATGCAGTTTAAATTAAAGAAACCTTGATGCCACCTATATTTTGATAGGCTTTAGTCTCAGAGAGAGAAAAACGTTTTCTCTTTTTCATCAACATAATCCAAAAAACCCTTGTTATCTTTGTCATTGTTTTACTTTGTTCTCCAAAAAATTAAGCCTTATTTCCTTAATAATGTCCCCCAGTCATTTTCCAGTTCCAGCTGCTGACCAGCTGGGGCGACCCCTATTACATCGGTCTCACGGGCTTGGAGCTGTATGACGAGCGGGGGGAGCGAATCCCCTTGTCGGAGAACAGTATCCTTTCCAGGCCGGGAAGGGGCTCCGTCCAGACCGGAGGGAGCTCGGGAGGGTCTGGACAGGGGTAGCATCCTTGAGTGCAGAGGGAAGTGTCCCTCTGGGGACCAGAGCCCCACCGGCCCGGGCAGGGGGAGGTGGCAAAGCAGAGCAGCACCCTGCAGGCCATGGAGCGCGGGAATTCCGCCAACCGGAGTCCTGTGGTCAAGCGCACGGGCAGTGGCTGCCACCTGCAGCCCCCTCGCAGAGAACCGTGGATCTTTTGGGGTTCTAAAGCCTCTGACCTGTTGCGCTGTGTCCTGGATTTATTAACTATGGAACCCTTTGCTTATTGTATACCCACACCAGAATTTGCAAACTGTAAGCCCGGCTCATTTTTAAATATTTTAAATTGCTTCTAATATTTTTAAAAATCAGGAGGTTTCACATGAAAACCCTGCTGCCTGGCTTCTCCCTGAGAAATCGGCAGCACGAGGCCTGTGGTCATGTACAGCGATGATGGCTGCGCCCGAGTATCCACTGACTTTCGTCCCCTGGCACATCCGTCCAAGTCCCCATCCCGCCCATTGTTGTCTGCCAGGCCCCCAAAACACATTGTTAATATTTACTAGGGGCTCACTCTGTGCTAGGTATTGTGTCAGGGCTTGTCACTTGGTGCCTCGTTTGCCCTCACAATGATCTTGTGAAGTGAGTGCTGTTATTATCCCATTTTACAGATGTGGAGCCCAAGGCACAGGGAGGTTGAGTAACTTGCCTAAGTTCACACAGCCAGTGTGTCTGACTCCAGATGCCGGCTTTTAACCACCAAGTTATCCTGCCTTTCTTTTATGTAATCTGTCCTGACCCCTCTAGGCTCTGAGTCAATAATCCCAACACACCACAGTTAGGGAAATGCCAGAGCAGGTTATGAAATCTGCCTTGCATCTGCTCGGGGGGTCCCTGGGCTCCAGCTGGATCCTTTTCTGCCTTCTCCCAGTGCCATGACCCTCCTCAGCTGGGATTAATGATTCTTGATGGTTTTGATCATTATTAGTAATTGCTGGGATGTGTAAGGCTCCACTGGTTTTACTAAGAGGGCTCACATCCCGTGTCCTCTGAGATCCTCACATCAGAAAACATAGAATTTTTATTTTTTTTGAAACAGAGTCTCACCCCCTTGCTGGGGCTAGAGTACCAAGGCGTCAGCCTAGCTCACAGCAGCCTCAAACTCCTGAGCTCAAGCAATCCTTCTGCCCCAGCCTCCTGAGTAGCTGGGACTACAGGCGTGCGCCACCATGCCCGGCTAATTTTTGCTATATATTTTTAGTTGGCCAATTAATTTCTTTCTATTTTTAGTAGAGACGGGGATCTCGCTCTTGCTCAGGCTGGTTTCGAACTCCTGACCTTGAGCAATCCACCCGCCTCGGCCTCCCAGAGGGCTAGGATTATAGGCGTGAGCCACCGCGCCCGGCCAACATAAATGTTTTCATGCCCATTTTACAGATGAGGAAACAGACCCGGGGGTGGGGGGTGTCGTGTGACTCACCCAAGCTCAGGGTCATAATGGCAGAGCCGGCGCAGGAACCCGGGCTCTGCAGATCCACAGCAGCACCCACGGGTGGAGTGGCGACAGCTGGGCCAGGCTGCCGCAGTCCCAACAGGTGGCCAGGGAGACAGTCGTGGCGTGGTCCTCACATTCGGCCACCACCCTGTCCCCATGCAAAAGAAAACCCCCTCGGAGTTGGCTCTTCGCTCTCCAAAGCAGCAACAGCGTTTTTGTTCCCACCTCTGGCAGTTCCGTGCAAGTCCCTTTTCAGCCAGCCCTCTGAGTGGTTTCCACGCCTTTGTGCTTGAAACTGGCCGGCCCTCCACACACACGCCCGCTCCCCATGGCCTCCGCGTGCCCAGTTTCCCGGGAACACGTCTCATTTAGCTGTCAGCTCTCCGGCCGCCCGGAGCAGCAGGCCCGCCAGCCCCAGCGTCCCCGGGCCGCCGTCAGCCTGACGGAGGCTGACAGCCCCGGGAGTGGCCCGCCACGCCCAGCACACAGCCTCGTGGTTATGGCAGCTTAGACACCCCTCAGACATCGCCGCCTTCCCCGACAGCGTGAACTCCCTGGAGGGCGTGAACGGGGACGTCCGCACCCCGGACAAGCTCATCGACCAAGTGAACGACACCAGCGACGGCAGGCACATGTGGCTGGCCCCCATCCTGCCAGGCCTGGTGGGTTCCCGGCCCCGGGGCGGGCAGGGGAACTTTCTGTCCCTGTCTCGGTGACACATCTTTCTTCTAAGGTCAAGTTAATCTCAAACAAGTCAAGATGCTTGAGAGGGAGCGTCAGAAAGGCTTAGGTCTTTGCTAACTGCCTGATGGGCTCGGCTCTTCCGGGCCAGCAATTCTTTCTCTTTGCTCTGGGGGAGGTTAGTAAACGGTGACCCAGGAGCTAAAGGGGCCACAGGGGAATCTGAAATCTGAAGCCACGAACCCCCACGCAGTAGCCTGAGGGCTTGGGGTCCCTGTGGACACCCCTCTCCGGTTCTCTGTTCCGCCTCCCTTTTCTCTGCAGACAGCCCTGCCCTCTTCCTCCCTACCCCCTCCCTGCACACTCCTGGCCTCTGCTCTTCCTGTGTCACCGTGCATGGGACCCCAACCTGGCTGCCCTGCCCCCTCTCTGGCCCCAAATCTGCCTGGTCGGCTCTTCCAACCAACTGACTCAGTTTCCCGAGTCTCAAGCCCTGCCCTTGGCCCTGCTGATCTTTATGTCGCTCTTGCAGTTGGACTCAGCTGGGCAGGCATCCTTGCCAGGGGACAGTGGGAGGCAGACCCTCCCCGAAGCCCCACCCGCCTTGGGCCAGGGCCCGGGCAAGACTGAGGCTGCAGCTGTGGCCAACAGGGCATGCTTATGTCTCTACTAGATCTTGCAAGGAGTCCCCTAATATTTGAGAGTCTTTGTTGGGGGTGGGGAGGGCGCTGTTGGGTCCGACTTTGCGATTTGACTCTGCCCCGCAGCTGGCCAGGCCCCTGCACAGGCCCCAGCAGAGGTCCCAGGACACATGCTGGTGCCTTTGCTCTGCTCCTCATTTATGCCTCGGGGAGAGGACAAGCAGGGGTCGGGCGAGCGGATCGCCTGTGGCTAGTGCTGCACGTGGGTTGGGGACTGTCCCTTTTGCCCGTGGGGGCCCCAGCCTGTTTCTGGGCCTGAACCGGGGGAAGGCCGAGGATGTTCCCAGCTCTCTGCTGGCGTTTCGGTGAGGGCCACACCAGCCCCAAGAACGCAGGCCCTCCAAGAGCCAGCTCAGCAGTTTGTTGCAAACGCAGCCACACGTGACCTGACTCCAGATGAGGGGGCGGAGCTCCCGGCTGGCGACAGGGCCGCAATGCCTCAGCCCCCGGCCGCCCCCGGCCACGCCTGGCGCCCCGGCCCAGCCGAGCGCCTCTGTTTCCAAACACGCCTGTTTTAATTAGTTCTGCTCTCTGACAGGTAAACCGGGTTTATGTGATTTTCGATCTGCCTACCACCGTGTCAATGATCAAGCTGTGGAATTACGCGAAAACACCCCACCGAGGGGTGAAGGAGTTTGGCGTAAGTACTTATTAGCTGGATTTTTTGAGATAATTATGCTCGTTGGTAATTAGGCCGCTGGCAATTATCATTTGTCGCAGTTTGATTTACTTCTCTCTGTTGCAACCTTAGACACAAGTGCCCGGTCCTCAGAGGCAGGGAAATGTGCCATCCACCCGTCAATTCAAAGCCCCCGGCAGTGAGCAGAAAGTGGCTTTTCTTTCATCTTTTCCTCTGGAATCCCACTGATTTGGGGAGGCGACACTGAGATGGGGAGAGCAGGGACCCCGGGGGCCAGAGACCCGAGGCTGCCTCCCCGCTCGGCCCCTGGTGCCAACAGCAGTTCAGCCTCCCAGCCTCCCAGCCTCAGCCTCCTCATCCGACCCGGGGCTGACGGCACGTGCAGGTCTGAAAGCTCCAGGCAGGCCGGGCGCACAGTAGGCCCTGTCGCCCACACCCGTCTTCCAGGGGAGAAACCTGGGCTCAGAGCGGCCACCTGCTTTGCCCGAGGTCGGTGCGGGAGGGAGGGGTCCGTCAGCGCCCCCTCTGTCCGTGCAGCTGCTGGTGGACGACCTGCTCGTGTACAACGGGATCCTGGCCATGGTGAGCCACCTGGTAGGGGGCATCCTGCCCACGTGCGAACCCACGGTGCCCTACCACACCATCCTCTTCACCGAGGACGCGAGCATCTGTCACCAGGAGAAACACACCGCCATCAGGTGAGCCCCGGCCGGACCCACGGCCTCCCCGCCAGCCCTAACGAGGACGGGTGGGCGGCCAGACACGCGGCCCGGGGCCTGACTGCGCCTGTGTCTCCCCTCCCCCAGCAACCAGGTGGAGGATCAGGACGTCCAGATGATGAACGAAAACCAAATCATTACCAACTCGAAAAGGAAACAGAGTGCCGCTGACCCAGGTCGGTGGCGTTTCCTCGTCCGGAGCATGCGGCCTCCGGAGTCTGGTCTGACCACAGACGGGGCTGGGGCCTGGCCCTCCTGCCCTCACCCTGCCTGCCTTCAGGCCCCACCCAGGAGCCTGCCCAGGGGCTGGGAAGGGGCCGATGGGGACAGAACCTGGGGAGTGACGTGTCACCTGCCTCCTGCAGGCACCTGTCACATGGTGCGGCTCCCTGTAGCCAAGAGCTGCGAGTACCGAAGGGACAGGCGGGCAGGGCGCAAGTACTGTGCGGAAGGGGCTTGCCCTGAGCCGTGGGAAGCCGGTAGAGGGTGCCCAAGGCTTCCCAGAGGGGTGACATTTGAGCTGGGTGCTAGAGGATGCGAGGGTGTGCCCGGCAGCTGGGCAAAGGCCCGAGGGCTGGCGGGGCGGGGCCCACTCCAGGCAGAGGGAAGGCCCAGCGTGGCAGGTGCCCAGCGTGCGCGGCTGCTCTGCCGGGGCCTTGAATGGCAAGCTGAGCAGTCCAATTGCACCCTGAGGGCGTGGGGCACCCCTCAAGGACTTGAAGCTTGGTAATGCCGGTCCCTCTGTGCTCTGCCTTGACAGCCTTACGCCCCAAAACCTGCATAAGCGAGAAGGAGACGGCGAGACGATGGCGGTGCTGACCGGTGGAGCAGGGAGAGCTGGTCCTTCCAGCCAGGCTGGGGCCCGTCACCGGCCCACTCAGCACCCATGTCCCCCGCCCTCGGTCCCAGGGGCTGGAAGAGAACTGCAGCAGCGTGGAGGGGAGCCCACTGAGGAGAAGGGACTCAGGGTGACAGCCCTGGAAACCAGAGGAGTGACAGACAATGCCTGTGTGGCTGCAGGGCGTGGTGTGGCCTTGGGCCATCCCCTGCAGCTCTGGGCTGGTGCTTTGCGCCCCTCCTTCAAGACCCGGCACAGCAGGGTCCAGGACCACTCAGGCCTGGGCTGACGCTGACTGGGGCCAGGACGGTGCAGTGGGCTGGGGGGGCCACCTCCAGCCTCCTCAGGGCCCAGAGCACGGCTCTGCAGGGCAGCAGGGAGACCAGGCCCACACCCCACCCCAGCACACAGGGGCAGAGGCCCCCACGGAGGTGGCCAACACTCCCCGGCCTCATCTGAGAGGCTGGGGTCATTTCCCGGCCCCCAGCGTGCGTCTGGTCCTGTTGAGAGGGAGGAGCGGGCTCTGGAGGGGCCTCTCTCCTCTCATCAGGGGACTGGCCAAGGGTACGTGTCCTGCTGAGGAAAGGAAGTGAGCTGGACCCACCGCTGTGCACTCCAGCACGAGCTGGGCCACTCCGGCATGCCAGGGCACCTTCTCTGTGCTGCTGCCAGGCCCAGAAAGGCTCCAGGCTGGCGGCTCCAGACCCAGAGAGCCAGAAGGCCCCCCCAGATGCCCTCTGGATGCAGGCATTGTGGGGAGGCTGAGGACACGCCCCCTACCCCCTTTTACACTTGAACTTAGCGTGGAGGAAGGCTGCCCCCACCGAACACCCCTGCCAAGTCCCTCCTGATCCGATCGGATCGCTGGCCTCCCTTGCTGGCTCCCATCCCTTTGTCCGTGCCCCGCGCCCTTGGAGTCAGGCGGGGAGGCTCTTGTTGCCAGACCCCCCACCCTTCTCCCTCTGCATCCGCTTCCCAGCCAGTTGGAGACGTGCCTTGCACCCCCAGCCGAGCGAGGCCCAGGACGCATCTATTTCCATCGCTGTAACAAGCTCAGATCAGGGACCTAATTGGTTTCCCAGTGGTGGGTAATTTCTCGTTCCAAATATTAATCCGTTGTTTTCCTGGCGCCCAGCCCGGCCCCGCCGCAGTACTGTACTCGAAGTACGTTCCTATGCAACCGAGAGCCCCGGCAAACACTTTATGAGCTTTGCAGCCTCGGCTGGAGCACTATGCAAATGCGCTTTGCATTTGGAGCACGGGCTGATGTGCAGATAAGAATCGTTTCTCTCCGAGAAGATCCATCATTTCGGTAGCTCCCAAGCCCCCGGCACCCCCGCTCGGCTCCCAGATGCGGTGAGCGCTCCCGCCTGGGGGCTCGGGGGCTGATCACACCAGCGCCACTGCTTTAAAGGGAGCCCCGTCGGCCCCTCCCTGCGCCAGGCGTGGGTACAGGTCAGACTCGTCGGGGAGGCGGCACGCACACTGCACACGCCCGCTCCGCAATCTCGGTTGATGTCGATAATAATTGCGTGTACCGTGCAATCTAGGAGGGGAACAAGAAGCCGTACAGGCATTAACTGTAAAATAAATTTCTATTTTTTTGCTCTTACAAAATCAATAAAAGATGTTATTAAGAATACAGTCTGACCCACTGGATTTGGGGGCAGACGGAGGGAGCCCGCACTGCCTACAAGACCCGAGTCGGAGCCCCCTGGAGGCTGGCTGGGCAACACGGACAAGGGAAGTGCCTGGGCGTCCCTTTCCCCACTGCCAAGGGCATTGTGGTCCTGGTCCTGCCTGCTCACTGGGATTGTCATGCTGTATGAACAGATGATAGTGGCCCACGCATACCGCTTATGACATGCCTGGCACTATCTTGTTCTGTCCACCTAACACCCCTATAGGGCAGGCACTATTATTATCCTCACTTTACAGATAAGCGAGCTGAAGCTCAGAGAGGTTGTGTAACTTTCCAAGGACACACAGCTTTGGAAGCTGTTAGTCAATGTGAAATCCCTGCTGAGGCGGGGGTTGATAACCTCAGGGGAACACCGGCCCCCAGACGCCTGCTTCCTTCAGGGGCGAGTGTTGGCTGCTGTTAGCTTCTGGACAGTGGGAGGAGGTTCAGCTGGGGCAGGCCTGAACTGCAGCTCAGGTGCCAGCAACAGCGTGGACACCGGGTAGGCAGGTCCTGTAGACCCCTCCACTGTCCGGGCCTGAGCGTGGAGGGAAAGGGCTGGGCCCCTGCCCGCCGCCCCCTGCTTCCCTCTGAGTTCCTACGAAGACAGAGGGGGCCTTCCCCGCCCAGCCGCCCTGGTGTGGGGAGAGACCCCTCACTCCTCCCACGGAGGGATCTCTGGGCCGCCCTGGAGACGCCGCGGGCAGGGAAGCCCCTCACCGTCCCTCCGAGGGGATGGCGGCTGGCGGGGCGTCCCAGCCCCTCGGCGATCCCGGGGCCAGGCAAGCGACGTCAGGGAGCAAGGCTGGCCTGCAGGGACGGCAACAGGGCAGCACAGGCCCTCCTCGGGGACTAGCAGCAGCTCAGCCCCGAGGGTCCAGCAATGCCAGATATCCAGGCGTTTTATTAATATTTATCTTTAATGTGAAATCTAACTTTTAAATGTTGGCTCAACTTAAACAAGCAAACACACACTGAGTGAGCCGAACCAAACCCGCGTGCAGGCCAGCTCCGGTCAGCGTGCAAGTCCTGCGTGGCCGGCCCTGCCTCCCAGCGTGGCCATGGCCTGCCTCCTTCCTGCCCCCGGCCCCGGGAGTGCCCAGGGCTGGATCCTGCCGGCCCTCCTGCCCTCTCCTCCCTGGCCAGTCGGCCCCCACGTGGGCAGGGAGACAGGGCATGCCTCGGGAGCCTTTGGTCCGGGAGGCGGGCGAGCCCGGCTGTCGTGGGTAAACAGAGGCCCCCTCCGCCCACGTCCTGCCACTCCCCTGTGTGCACCTCCCGCCACACACACGGGGCAAAAAAGATCCGAAGGCGGCCGCTGTCAGAGGCTGGGGCTTATGGGCACCCCTGCGAAAGGGTCTTGGCTGCAGCTGACAGAGGACGCTGCCCTCAAGCAGCCAGCCCCCGGGACCTCTTCTCTGTCCAGCCACAGGAAGGACCCGCTTCCCTTTGTTGAGAGTCGGTTTGGTTCCAGCCCTGGCACCACCACCTCGGAAGGCCCCCAGGCCACGTGGTGGCTGCCCCACACCTGGGCTTGTGCTCTGAGAAGGGGCCTCACCTCCCTCCTCACCCAGAGCCAGGACGGTCCCTTTCCCAGCCCTGCAGGCTCTGCCTGGCCTCTTGGCAGGCCTCCATCTGGTGGCTCAGCCTGCTGGGTTTGGCCGACTCTGCTGGCCTAGACAATGTTTAATTTTTAAAAAATTAGTTGCCTTCCTTTACTATCAGCTTTCACATTAAAATTCAGATTCCCCGCTTCTCTGGAAAGATGGGGACATCTGGCAAGTCTGGTCCCACATTCCTGGCTGGCTCTCCAGGTCACCCTGTCCCTACCCTTGGTCTGCCACTGTCACTGGCAAGACCGTCACACACACACTCGCCCCTGCCAGCATGCGGATCTGCAACCCCCGAGACAGGCAGGCGAGTACTGTGGAGAAGCAGAAGGGGACACAGGGACAGTGCTGCGGGTCCAGCGGGCGCAGGGCTGGCAATGAGGGCCAGCTTCCCGGGCACGCAGAGCACTCTCCCGGGCCTGGGACTCAAGCCTGTGGCATCCAGGCAGCAGGGCCACCGGGGGCTGGGAAAGGCAAGCGGCCTCTGTGCACTATGCTGTGTGTCCCCGAGTGCCTCGGGGGTGTCTGTCCGCCCACTGCGGGTCTGTCTCCGCAGGCATGTCTGGGATCTCTGTGTGCCCAGCGGCGTTCAGGCCACCCATCCTGTCTGGGACACCCACAGCCCCTGCTGAGGGGCGGCCTTTAGCAGCCGTCTGCTGTCATAACAAGAACAGCCAATACTACCAAGCCGCCGCCCCACGTGAGTGCTCTGCGGGCTCATCTTGAAGGCACGTGCAGGTGGCAGCACTGGGATCTCAGCTCTCCAGAGAGCTGGTGGTGAGCGAAGGCAATGGCCCCGGGACCTGCCATCCTGGGCTGGAGTCCAGGCTGCACCATTTCCTGGCTGTGCGACCTTGACGAGTGACCTTACGCCCTGGAGGCTGGGCTTCCTTACCCTGGCTGCAGGGTCACCTGTGGGACCTGTGTCATGGAGCTGTGAGGGCATCAGTGACCCCTGGCCCCTAGAGCTCAGCCCTCCTGGGAGGGAAGACGCCTGCATTACGTTTCACAGTCACCGTTATCTTACAGGTGTGCAACCTGAGGCTGAGTAAGAGTGACCTTGGCACGTGACTCCTGAGCCTGGGCTCATCACAGAAGCAGGAGCCACCTCCCGGCCCCAGCTGATTGGTGCACGAAGGGCACTGGCCTTAGAGCAGCTGGCCCATTGGCTGGGCAGAGACTATGTCCCGCCCCTCCGCTGCCACCTCTTTCCCAGCTCTGGTTCACCCCTTCCCCAGCGGTTCAGTTTCCTCCCGTGTTCTTCATCTCTGCCCCCTCTCCCTCACCCACGCTGCCTGCACCTCCCACCCAACACGCGCACCCCGGAAGTCCCCAGGAGGGCCAGGAAGGAAAGGGCGGGGTGGGTGCACCAGGCTCAGGTGTGCACCCACGGGCGGGCTTGGCCTCCCACCACAGAGCTGCGCCCTCAGGGGCCCCACCCCTGACCCTGGAGCCCCAGGGCCCTCACTCCCCGGTCCCAGCCTGCCCTGCCGCTGCCCACGCCCCTGCCAGGCCTGCAGCCATCAGCCCGGCCACTAACCCCGCCAAGGCAGAGGCTCGGACAGTGTCAGTCCAGGACGAGATGTGGCCCAAGAAGCAATTACCAGGGTGACAGGAGCTGGGCCATGCTGGGGACAGGGCAGGGGTCCTGCACCGTGATCTCCTGTCTGTCTTTGCAGTAAATCCTCACGCAGAGGAGATTGGTTTTTCCTCGTGACTGATGGTCCTGGGCTGGGCTGAGTTTGTCCTCAGCCCCACAGACAGCCCAGGCCCGGGGCAGGTGCAGTTGGTCACGGCCCCACGGCCCTGGGTTGACACTCAACTCCAGCCCTCCGAGCTGCGTGCTCTGGGGCCACATAGTCTGTGTTGGGGCGGGCAGGGGCACCCTCTAATCCATCCACTCAGAAGGCATCTTGCCCTGATCTGCACCGAGGCCCCGTGTGGCTGCAGCGTCCCCACCACAAGGCATAAAGCCCCCAACAGGAGCCTGGGCGGAGCCAGCACCCCCACCTCATCACGCATCCCCAAGCCCGTAGGTGCCACTGCCCAGATGCTGCTTCCCTCCCTCCCCAGTGCCAGTGCAGCCCAAGCCACCACCACCTCCCACAGGACCCTGCTGCAGCCCCTCTGGTCACCCTGCCTCTCTCCTGCACCCCATCTCCCAGACCGGCCCCACATATGGCCGGAAGGAAGGCCAGAAGGAAGCTCCCCCAGTGCAGAGCTGATCTGCCTTTTCAGACCCTCTGACCAACGGCTCCCGTGGCCTTCAAGGTGAACGCCAGACTCCTTGCCACACCCCACGTGGCCCCGCACCTCTGAGGCCAGCAGCAGACCTCGCTCCAAGCACTCTGTCCTGTCCTAGTGTTGCACACAGCCACACGGCACTGCCCCAACCCCAGGGCCTTTGCACGTGCTGTCCCTCCGCCCATACTGTACTCATGCCTCCTCCCTCCTCCAGTCGGTGCTGCAATGACCTTTCCTCTGAGGGGCCTCCTCCACCCTCTGTCTGAGTCAGACCTTTCCTTGGGTCACCTACATAACACTTCTCACTCTTTGACGTGATCTTTTTATTGTTTAGGATTATTTGCACAATCTCCGTCTCGTCCACTAGAGGGCGTCCTCTGGGGAGGGTGAAGATGGCGTGCGTCTTGTTTGTTGCGGCAGCTCCGGGGCAGGTCCGGGCGCAGAAACCAGCGCTGGGGGAGCGAGGCCGCAGCAGGGCTGAGCCCAGGCCTGCCCCTCTCCGTCGGGCGAGTCCCGGGAGCCCGGTGCTCAGGCCTGGCTGGGCAGACTAGCGCCATGCATCAAGCTGACATTTCCATCCCCGGGGGAGGCGAGTGCGTGGCCGGGACTCTGGCTGGGGCGGGGGTGGCGGGGGCGGCGGCTCATCTCAGCCACCAGGCGGGAGGGACGTCAGCCCGTTGCTCCGGAGGCCTGGGCCTGCCCGTCCACGCCCGGCCTGGGAAGGACGGTGACCCCGAGGCAGACAGCGGGTGACGGGGGCAGACGAGAGAAGCGCCCAGCGTGTGCAGACACAGACGAGTGCGCAGGGCCACGCGTGAGCACCAGCACCTACCCGTGTGGCACTTTGTCCAGGGCCCGCACACGCACACGTGACCGAGCGAGCACACGGGATCCACAGGAGAACACGGTGTGGAAGAGCACAGCATACACACAGTACAAGGTGCTGACTCCTGCGTGTGCAATGTCAGCGGGTGCAATGTCAGCGTGTGCAATGTCGGCGTGTGTGTGTGTGTGTGTGTGTGTGTGTGTGTGTGTGTATGTGTATGTGTGTGTGTGCGCGCACGTGTGTGTGTGCAGGGGCGACCCCTTGGCCAAGGTCGGCCTCAGATGTTCACGTGTCCATGTGACTGGGCCTCTGTGCACACCAGCCCAGGGCACGTGGACACAGAGACGCTGGGAGCGGGCGCAGAGCCCTGGGCTGGGGTCAGGCCGGTGTGCCGGGGTCACGATCAAAGGCTCACACGAAACCCCTCAGCACCCGTCTGCTCAGCGAGGGGGGCCTTAGCTGGGAAAGCGTCTGCAGGAGCGGGAGGAGGGGCCGTTTCCTCCTGATCCAGGTCTCTCTGGGGCTCCCCGGGCACCCTCTGTCCTCACCCCAGGTGGTGCCTCCGTCCTCCCAGACTGGGGCAGACAGCAGCCGTTGCTCCCTGAATGAAGACAACACGCACAGTCCCTCTCGGTGACCCGCTGGATTACTCACCCCGCCTGCCTGGAAGTGCTTCCTTCTGTCTAACTAGCAGCCTTCTTGCTGCAGGCTCCGTGAGGCTGAAAGGCGGCTTGTTCCCAGCCCCGCCCCGGGGGTGGCCAAAAGGACACAGGAGGACTCGAAGCCTCGGTGGCCCTGCGGTCCTCTTTCCCTTCCCTTGTGACGATGGCCCTCCTTTGAGCCATCCAATATCATAATCACATACCATTTGCACGATTATTTATTTAATATTTTTCTTTAAACTGACTCTTTCTTTTTACTTAAATGCCTATTTTGGTTTCATCCTAAGCGACAACGTCTGTGAAATCAAAGCACTGATGTGCCCATTATACATTTTTTTCCTAATACACATTTACATAAACACAACTATTAAAATAGATTAAAATTTTGCCCACGTGTCAACGAAAACCATCTTCTGGACCTCCTGTGGTCCACTCGCCAACTTCAAACAGAAGGACTCCGGGCGAGAATAAGAGCTCCACCGCGCCTGGTGGCCCGCGCCAGATCCAGCCCCAAATCACAGTGTTTCCCTCCTGCACGAGGCCAGAGCCCGAACGGCTTGTCCCCACGTCTCCAGGCCTCAGTAGCTGGCCCAGTCTTTCTCCCAGGCCTGTCTCCAGCCCCACACAGTCGGTCCTCAATATTTGCTGAATGAATGAAAAGCGAATTAACAAGTCACTCCCTTGATTAGTCAATGCGTGAATGAATGACTGAGCGCACACCCGCACCTGGGCGTCCCCTGGGCCCCTGCGACTCGGGGCATCTGGACCACGAAGTCTCCATCTTCCCCATGCCCCATACTCGAACCCCATAACCCGAGAGTCAGCGCCAGCTTCACTCCTCCCACATCCGTCCATCCCACCCCACGCCCGCTGATTTTCCCTCCTGAGGACTCCTGAATCTGCCTCACAGCTCCTAAGCCAGACCCCCTCTCCTCTCACTGGAGTGTGGCCAGGATGGCGTGTCTCCCACACCCATGCTCTGCCCTTAGCCGGGGCGATGTTTCTAGAACACACACCTGGGCGCATCAATCCTCTGAAAGCATCCCGCCGCCCTCTGCCCCCAGGGTAAACTCTACGCTTCCTAGCGACGCGTCCAGTCCCTCCTGGCCTCGCTCCACCCACCTGGCTTCCCAGCACGCCCTCCTCACCCCCTTCTCTCCACGCCTGCCCTCTGGACCATCTCAAAGCCCCGCAACGTGCTTGCTTTCCCCTCTGTACTCTCGCCCAGCTGACAGCCAGACAACCCTCGTGTCTTGGCTTAAATGTCGTTTTCCCAAAGGAGCCTGCCCCCCCCCACGCCCCTGCCCTGGGCTCCCGCAGCCCGCTTCCCTCACCGCTGCGAGAGGAAGCCCTGACCCCGCCCCGGCCGTGCACCAGGCTCCGTTCTGGACACGCTTCCCGTACGTTCGCTCATTTAATCCCCACAGCAGCTTTAAGAGGTAAGTATAATGTTTACCCCATTGAATAGGTGAGGAAACTGAGGCATAGAGTGGTTGAGTAACTTGCCCAAGGACACGAGGAGGACAGGGAGTCTGAACCCAGGCAGTGGCCCAGGGCAGGCAGCACGGCACTCAGTGACCACACATGCCTGTCGGGGTGCTTCAGTGCCGCCTCAGGTGCCCGCCTGCCACAGGGCTCGGCGCACGGGAGGGCACAAGGAACCCTATCATTGTGGGTGGTGGATGCACAGGTGCACGCCAGAATAGCGAGGACGGGTGCGTGGAACGATGACGGGTGGATGTCTGATACTAGGAAGGATGACAAGTAATGGACGGATGTTGATGGATGATGGAAGGTTGGAGGGGATCAGGGAGGGATGGAGGGATGATGGAGGGATGGGTGGATGATGGAGGGATGATGGAGAGATGATGGAGGGATTGAGGGATGATGGAGGGATGATGGAAAGATGAAGGAGGGATGGAAAGGATAGAGGGATGAGGGAGGGATGGAGGGATGATGGAAAGATGAGAGATGGAGGTAGGAGTAGAGGGATGAGTGGAGTGAATGTAGGTATGATTGAGGACGTAGATGAAGGAGGGATGGGAGAGGATGATGAGGAGGTGATGGAGGGTCATGAGGATGGAGATGGAGGGATCATGGATGAGATGGAGTGATGGAGGGATTGAGGGGATGATGGAGGGGATGATGGAAAGAGAAGAGGGATGGAAAGGATAGAGGGATGAGGGAGGGATGGAGGGATGATGGAAAGATGGAGGAATGGAGGGAGGATAGAGGGATGATGGAGGAATGTAGGTATGATGGAGGGACGATAGATAAAGGAGGGATGGAGAGATGATGATGGAGGGATGGAGGGATCATGGAGAGATGGGGATCATGGAGGGATGATGGAGATGATAGGAGGATGGATGGGAGGGATGGAGGGATGATGGAGAGATGAAGGAGGGATGGAGGGATCATGGAGGGATGGAGGGATCATGGAGGGATGATGGAGAGATGATGGAGGGATGGAGGGACCATGTAGGGATGGAGGAATCATGGAGGGATGATGGAGAGATGGAGGGATGGAGGGATGATGGAGGGGTGATGGAGGGATGGAGGGATGATGTAGGGATGGAGGAATCATGGAGGGATAGAGGGATCATGGAGGGATGATGGAGAGATGATGGAGGGATGGAGGGACCATGTAGGGATGGAGGAATCATGGAGGGATGATGGAGAGATGATGGAGGGATGGAAGGATGATGGAGGGATGGAGGGACCATGTAGGGATAGAGGGATCATGGAGGGGGATGGGATGGAAGATAGGATGGAGAGGATGTGGAAGGGATGGAGGGACCATGTAGGGATAGAGGGATCATGGAGGGATGATGGAGAGATGAAGGAGGGGATGGAGCGGGATGGATGGATCATGGGTGAGTAATGAATGAATGATGGAGGGATGGAATAAAAGAATGAGTTCTACTTGAGGAAAAGCTCTAGAAATCCTTCCAGAAAGGGATAAGGCCTCCTGGGAGATGCCTGAACTTGGAGTCAGGCTCCCAGTTCAACCCCAGCTCTGCCATTCACTAGCCCTACAATCTTAGGCAAGTTACTTCATCTGTGCAACCCTAAGCTCCCTCACCTTTACAATCGGACTCCGTTTCCCAGGCATGTCAGCCCTGGGATTTTATGTAAAGGTGGCCCTAGACACGGAGTGAAGGGTCCCAACAGGGGTCGGGGTGGTGTGACGTTGCTAAGCTCTCGGGATCAACGCGGCTTCTCCCTGCTCCCAGCTTAGGGCCTGAGTTTGGGCCCATCTCTCGCCCTCCCCGCGCTTCCTGCCTGCCTGGCCCTGCCTCACACACCCTCTGGGACCCGCAGCAGCCCCGCCAGCCTGTGTCCGTCGGTCCCCAGCCTCGGCTCCCATGGCTGGCCCTGGCCTCAGCACGCTCCGGGGTGTCACCGAGAGCCCCGGGGCAGCAGTGGGGGGGGCGATGAGGGGGCAGCCGGCCCAGACAGCAACTGGCCTCCACACACCGCAAGGAGACAGGTTCAGCAAGCATTTATTGAGCCCCTGCCGTGTGCCTGCTGCGTGAGCCCTCGGTGCCAGCGCTGCCGTCCCCCCTCAGGAGGCCCACTCCCTGCCCCCCTGGCTCTGCCCCTCTGGGCACCCCCACAGGGTCCTGGTGGCTTGCGGGTGCCAGGCGTTCCGTGGCCAGCGTCCGTGTATTTCCTGGCGTCACAGCCGCCCGGTGACGGTGCAGGGATCAGCGGCTGCTGTCCCAGAGTCGCTCTGTGCAGCCCTGTGCCTTCCCCCAGGTCCGCCGGCTCCCGCCCAGGGCCCTGGGACCCGGGCAGCAGAGGGCAGGACATGCCTGGCGTCTCCCTAGCAGGCTGGCCGAGTTCACAGCCCATAGGCCAGGGTTGCAGGGGTACCAGACCGGTGGTCTTGCGGCAGGGGGCGGTGCCGGCGACGGCCTGAGCTCCAGAGACTGGGCTGGGATCCTGGTCACACCCAGTGCCCGAGCACCCAGCACTGGCGGTTCAGCTCCGGTCCCTCCTGTGCCGAGCTCCGGGGCCAGGAGTCCCCCATGTGTGGCTGGTGTCCTGCCAAGAGACGAGGTGGTCAGTGCCGAAAGCCACCTTCCTCCACCCACACCCCAACTGCCCCAGCCCACCTGCACTGCCCTCACCCGCCCCCATGCACCACCCCGCCACCTGTCCTCCCTGGCAACCCACCCGCACAGCCAGCCCTCCTCCTGCCCCACCCCCTGCCCACCAAGCCTCCCGGACACCCTGCCTCTGCCAGCGTCTGCTGCCGCCCACTCTCCACCCGCCAGTGTGGACGCCACTCTGCTCACACCCTGCCCGCGCCCACGGCACACCCGCCGCCAGCCCATCCATCCTGTTCCACCCGGTAACACACCCACCCGCCACCTCTCCCCAAACGTCCCCATGCCCGCCCACTGCACCCACACTCTGCCTCCTGACCCCAGCTCACCCTCGCACCCACCCAACAGCCCAGCATGACCTGCCACCGTGCACCCGCCCGCCCACCTCCACCCACCCGCGCTGAGCCACCCCTCCTGCCCACCGCCCGCCTACTTCCCCCTGCCCAGTCCCTCTGCCACCCCCCTCACTCCCCGACCCCCGGCTAAGCCCCAGCCCATGACCCGCCCAGCACCCAGCCACATCCTGGAACCATCCCCCAGCCGGCAGGCCCCGAGGCGTCCTGTGTGTCCGTCTGTGTTCAGGGGCCGCGGTGGGCGTAGGAGGAGAGGGAGAGCAGAGGCCTCCCTGGCCTAGCCCAAGGCTCACTAGGAGCAACTCCTGGAGAGCCGGCAACGGGCCCTGCGTCCCCAGCTCCTGCCCGCTGCTCTTGGCACCAGGCACGGGAGAGCTAGGAGCTCCCCCCGCCCGCTGCTCCCACCCTCTTGCAGTGTCCTGGTTCTCTGGTTCTCGGAAGCCCACTCCCGTCCTCCCTCTCCTGTCTCTGCAGAGCCTTCCTAGCACGCCAGCAGCAGTCCCGTGTCACGCCGTGGTCCGCCTAGAACGCCCTGGTACCTACTGCCGAAGGAAACACTCAAGGCCCAGCTGGAGGTCCGCCTGCTCCAGGAAGCCCCCCAGGTCCTCTCCCTGGCACTTGGGGGTCTCCTGAGTGGCAAAGCCCCGAGTGGCACACCTGCCAGCTTTGCCCCCGTGGGACCCCGAGCCCAGGACAGCAAGGACTGCCCCCAGGGTGGCTGCTCCAGGAGGTGGAGGGGAACACAGAAGCTGAGGGAGACGATGGTGGGCCGGGGGGCTGAAGGAAACCAGGTTATGAGCGCACACGGAGCCACGCCCCCGGGAGTCCCCCACCTGGCTGCCAGCCCGCCAGGCAGGCGCCGCCCAGTTCACAGACCAGGGAGCTGCGGCCCCCGAGGATGAGCAGCTGCCTTAGAATTCGCAGCCCCGGTGGGGCTGGATGGAAGCCTTTTCTTCCTGACTCCAAACTTCAGCATTAAAAGAAATTTGTGCCGGGCGTGGTGGCGCGAGCCTGTAGTCCCAGCTACTCTGGAGGCTGAGGCAGGAGGATCGCTTGAGCCCAGGAGTTGGAGGTTGCAATGAGCTATGATGATGCCATGGCACTCTAGCCTGGGTGACAGAGCGAGACCCTGTCTCAAAAAATAAAAAATTTAAAAAACAAATTTGTTCCATGTCATGTTATTTTCCTACTCTGAGCTCTAATGGATGCTCAGACAAACCTGGCCATAGTTTAGGGTCACGCTGATTCTTTGTAGAAAACCCACTGAGGTGGGAATTCCCAGGGAAGCCAGGCTCTTGCTTGCACACTCATAATGACAGAGAGCTCACTCATTGCTCTTTCTTCATCTCTAAAGCAGCTCTGACAGTTGGGAGATTCTTCCTAATAACAAAATTGGCAGGAAAGCAGCAAAGAAGAAGATGATTGTGCCAGTGCTGGGAGGGGACTTTTTTTTTTTTTTTTTTGCTTTTTTTCTCCTTCTGTTTTTCATATTCTTTGATGTTTGTGCTTTGCAAATTTTACCGTATTTGTTAAAGCGGCAGGAAATATTTTTGCAAACATTCTGGAATAATTTGGCCTTAGGAAAAAAAAAAACCATTTGTTTTGGCCTCAGTCTAGGAAACAGTCGCATTGTTTTGGAAGTGCTTGCTGCCAACATAAAGGTGTTTGGTTTTTTTTTTTTTTTTTAATCTAGAAGTAAATATTTGGCACATAGAAAGGTTTGATTGTTTTTCTAAGTGAGCATTTAGAAGTGACTGTAGCTGCTGTCACGGTGGCCAACAGGCAGGACCACGGAGAACAGTAAGTGAATCGTGCATTTTTTAAGGACAAAGAAAGGCCACCATCCCTGCTCTTCCTCGAGTTAAAATCAGCTTCTCTGTCCCCTGGATCTGGAAGGCCAGTCACTGAGGACTGGGTCCCTTGTCCCCTTCTCTGGCCTTCCAGGAGGGGCTTGGGGCCTGGAACATTACAGAGTGTGTGGGAAGGGGGTTCCTCACCATGCCTGAGGAGCACCCCTTGGCCCACGAGGACCCCCCACTCACTTTCTTTCTCTCCAGGGCCTTTTACTTTGGGGCCAGTCACCAAGCAGAGAAAAAGGCCTGGTGGTAGATTGGGAATCCCAACCCAGAATGTCCCATGGGGCCAGCGGAGGATGCAGGCGGGTGGGGTGGGCCAGACCCAGCTGTCTCCAAGCTCCCACAGTGGACACCCCAGGGAATGTGGGCTCGGAGCTTCCAAACATTCCAAGAAACCGAAAATCTAGATTTCAAAATCAAAATTTCTGCCTTTAAAATTATGACCATTAGGGTTTTTAAAATATTTTGAACCGTCTACGGGCCACGTAGTATCGCTCAGGGTGGTCTCAGCCCACGGGAGGTCGTTTCGTGATCTCTGCCTGTTTCCCAATCTGCGTCTTTGTTCCATGACTCTGTCACACGGCTTTGCGCATGCTGGGCCCTGGGCTGGGAGTGCCCTTCCCTGCCCTCCCCTGGGAAGCAGAACATGGCCCTGTAGGCAGAGCCCTCGCTCCTCCTCTGTGCCCTTCGGCCACTGCACACACCCTCTCCCTGTGCTCGTCACTGTGCTGCCACAGCCGGCTCACTGTGGCTCTCCCCAACTGCCCTGGGGGTGGGGGACATCTATGCAAGTGGGGACCCGGTCTGCTTCATCCTGGAGCCCTCCGCCCCCAGGCGCACCCAGAGCAAGTCCTGAGCTGACTTTTTTTTATTTCATTTTTTTAAAAGAAATGATGAAACTATGGAAGAGGAGAAGGAGTGACTCCTGAGCCTAGGGCACGAGCCCCAGCCGCCCTCCGTGCTCTGAGCCTGCACGCCATAGAGAAGCTCTTCACTCAGCCTCTCCTCCTTGGGTGCAAGCTCGGGGGGGACTGTGCTTGGGTCTAACAGCCAAAGGTTCAAATCCAGGCTCCGCCGCTTATAAGCTGTGTGGATTTTGTTTAAGCTGTGTGGCTTTCGACAAGCAACTTCAGACCCTTCTGAGCCCGCAAGTGCACGTAAGACACAAAAGAGACAGTGGGCCCAGGAGGCCCCGCACAGAAGCCCTTCATCATCTGCCTCAGATACTGCTGGGTGTGGAGACACGAGGCGCCGGCACTAGGAGGGGTGGGGTTCAACAGCCGCTCTTCGCAGGTGGGGAAACGGGCCCAGGGGTGGGCACAAGTTTGTCCAGGGTCCCTCTCAGAGGGTTGGTAGCAGATACTTTGTTTTAAATTCACTGGGAAACCCCTCAGGGTTGGCAGAGTATTTGACCTATAGGAGGTTCTTGAAAGATGTGATTTCTCTTCCCTTTTGAATCCAGATATCAAAACATGAACCCACGTAACATCTGATCCCCTCCAGTCCCGACTTCCCAATCCCTCAGAGGGAGATCGCTCTCTCAAATCCCCTCCAAGCCACCAACATCCCAGGGACCAGCTCCCAGTTCTACTGGATTGAATCAAATCACATCTACTGCTCCCAAATGGATTCATTGGGTGGGAAGGGCCCTTCGAGACCAAGAATGTCAATGCCAGCATGAATGTGCAGATGGAGAAACCGAGGCACTTAGAGGAAAACTGACTTGGCCAAGATCGCTCTGAAGCTGGTGTAGTGAGGGTGGGCAGGTGTGGGTACTGGCGTTCCTAACCCCATCTCAAAGAAGAGCTGAGTCCCTTTACAAGGAAGTTCCTTCCAGGAACTTGCTCGCCTGCTGTCCAAGGTGCTGAAAAGAGCCCACTGTCCGGCTGCCCAACCTTGACTTCTGCCCTCCAGAAAGAGATGAGATGTGGAGAGTGATGGAGAATGAATCAAGGCTGGCACAAGGTATCTGGCTTTGGAGACCTGTCAGCTAGTGACACCATCATCCCTCTTCTGTTGTCCAAAATGTCCTCGAAAATATGAGTTAGGTACCATTACCGTCCCATCTTACAGATGAGGAAACTGAGGCTCAGCTAATTTAAGCCATGTGTCCAGGGCCTCACCACTGGGATTTGAGTCCAGGAAGCCTCATTGCAAAGACTGAGCTCGTAACCACCGCAACACACTGTCCATGGAGCACCAGGACAGTGGGATGCAGAGAGGAAGGCACCACCTCTGCCAGGGCTGGGGAGAAGGCTGGGTGCCATTCCCAGACACGTGAGCAACACTGTGAAAGCACTGGTGACAGTGCCCAGGCCCACTGGTGGGGCTCGTTTTCCGCCCAGTGGAGCAAGGGGGCAGGTCACGCCAGGCAGGAGGAGCAGGGTGGGAACTAGGTTCCTGGCGGGTGAACGAGGGTCTTCGGCAGGTGTGACAATCCTAGCAGGCAAGCAGCAGAGTGGCAAGAGAACAGGGCACATGGGGCCGGAAGGGAAACAGTGGAGGGTCGCAGGCACCAATGTTGGTGGGTGCAAGGTGGGCAAGGCCCAGCAGCCCCCTGAACTCCTGTACCTCAGGGGTTTCCGCCTTATCACCAGGCTGTGTGACACAGACTCTTGACCTGCCCCAGGAATTTGGCTCTGCAGGGAAATCTGTGTTTTAACACCTGTCCCAGTAGCCGGGTGTAGTGACTCACGCCTGTAATCCTAGCGCTCTGGGAGGCCGAG